AAAGGAAAAAAAATCAAAAGATTTCTGAGCAACTTATTGGTATCGTTTTCTTTTGTATTTTAAATCTCTGAGTCAGCACAGCAAGCCGTTTCTGCGCGAGTTCGTTGCGGAGAGCCCATCAAAGGGTGCCTCGACGAAGCTGAACTGAACGATAATATTGCCACGCTGCTTTTCTCAGCCCACACTAACATGTTTCGTTGGTAAAAGAGTTTCTTTTTCGTTGAGTTTAGAATTCAAGTCCACAGTTAATTAATTGATGACGGTTGAAGAAATTACCAATTGCTACTTCATAATAGGAGTAAAGTAATAGAATTTAGTCTTATCAACAGAGGCGAGTTGATTAAGTCAAGTTGATACCCCCACCTTTAGTAAGAGCGACTCGATTTGCTCTGAGGAATGGCCAGCATTTGAAATGCGGCTTTTAAACCTTGACTTAACGGGATCACAACGAAGGTTTTCGAAAACGCATCACTTTTCTTGACGTGTTTTAACTATTATTTCTCTGAGGCTATATAGCTCTAGTAAAATAATGTGACATAGGCTTCAAGGTGATCGGTGTAACTTTCCCTTTTCGCCCTTTGAAAGGCGGTAATTGACTTGTATTTTCCTCTTATTTTATAATATGGCTAATAAGCCAGCAGTGATTCCTCACGCAGCTTTCGGATGCGAATACATTGTGAAATGACTTTTAAAAAAGCCACATGCTTAGAATTTGAAACACACCCTTTTATTCTCTCACTGAACTAGACTTGAGTAGCCTATAAGTAATGACTACACATCAAAGTCTTCTCTTTGGTTATGCGACCGAAAACAGGGAAAAAAAATACATCTATAGGAAAGTATCATTTAAATAATGTACATTGTAACAATAGTACTATGTGAAGTAGGCCTTTATTGCTGTGAATACCCACTTAACGACCCCCCGCCGTGTTTCTCTGGTTTGTCACTAGTATACCGTGATCTTCCTGAAAGCACCTACATGGTGGAAGGATCCTCCTACCCCCAGCCAGCAAGATCCTTGTACTATGAAGATCATAGTGCTAGGGACAAGTACAAGCCTGAATACAGAAAACATATGGCAAGTAGTATAATCCGCCTGCTAGCATATTCCTCATGCTAGGATCTCCCCCCCCGTCTGCGCCCCTAAAAGTCGAATGTCTTTATTGGAATTTTTATTGTCACTCTTCTTTATCCAAATTACGCAAGATCTGAGTTTTAAAATACATCTCTGTTTTTGTTTTTTTTACTTTTACCATCATCAGAGAACTGACAGAGGAGAGGTAGTTTTGGTTGTTTTTACTTTTAAACTTAATGAAGGTAACTGATTTGTCGCTATAGATTGGCAAATTCACAACACAACATTTGTTTCATTTGCTTTACATTGTAACTTCGTGTCCAACATTTTCACTGAGTCATTTTAAAAATGAATTCTGTTTAAATAGTACTAATCTCACCAGGTTTTGAGATGAATATGATTGTTGTGCCATTCGTTGTCACAAAGGGGTATACGCCTTTTTGTGATAGTAATCATACAGAGTTTTGTTGCGTTAAGGTTGCTGTTTCACGGGAAGATTCGTAACAACGAGTTTTAGCGTAACACAGCGTTGCAATGTTGAAACAAATGTTGGAACAATTCGAAACAATATCGCAACAATGTTTCAACGCTGTGTTAAAAATCGGCGTTGCCAATCGGTAGTTGTGTAACAACACTTTTAATCACTTTCACTACACCCTCTCTTAAATGTGAACATAATTTTTTGTACTTTTTATTTTTATAAGCAGTAGCCGGACAAAACTTGCCTTTCAACCTCAAAGATCCCTATTGAATAATTTTATTGTTGCTATTGAAGACAACTGGACCAAAATGCATCACTATAAACGCAGGGAAAAACGTTTCAGAGTTTTGTTCTTTAAAAGTATGTACTGTTTCATGTGTACTACACATTAGTTAATACGAAGGTAAGGAATACGAGATTGATGTTGTGTAGTAAACTCTAATATGTAAAGGAGGAGTATAAATGTAAATTATTGCTTTATAAACAGTTTAAGGAGGGGGAAGGTGATCCCTAGTTCCCCTCCCCTGATAAAAAAAACTCCAGTATTAGGATCAGAATGAAGTATTCTAATGGCAACTTGTAAAGGCTCCTAGTGTTAACTTATGTAACATTCCTCCCGAGTCTGTTCACACAGCACACTGTTCTATAGATTAGAAGTGACTTTTATTTGTATATTCATACTTAGATTCCAGTTTGTCAGATAACTTTTAAGACCTTCTGCTATGCTTTGTTAAAAACAGAAACCTTATTACTTGGAAAATTGAGTTTCAAGGGCTCTCTCTCTTTCTCTCTCCCTCTTTCTCCGAGGGCCGAGAAAAACGGAGAGAACTCTGGGGATGAAGTTGTCTTTTCAGCTGGTTTAGAATCTTAAAACTATTCATTACAATAGCAGAATTTCTTCAATAGGTCTTTTAACAATTATTACATTAAAGGCTAGAAAACCTTTTAGAAAGCACTTTGAGTTTAGGAAAAAAATGAATCTCTTTTTAAGCTTGTGGGGGAGGTATTTCTTCCACGTACATCCGGGACACCGAGTTCCATCCTGTGTTCGCATCAGCAGAACCGTAACGTTTGCAGTTGCCGACCCAGAATCCCACGCGCACAGTGCCTTTGTGGATTTTATCGCAGACTCCCTCGACGTGACGTGGGCGGTGCAAATTGTTTAGTCTGCTGCCAGTTCCATAAGACATGTAGACTACAGCATCAATAGCTGCTGGAGCCGAGCATTCTGTACCATTAAAAGTGAAATACCATCGCCTACAACAGCTGTTGCAGTTATGGATGCGGAGTTGGCCACTCCAGTAGACACGCAGACTTGTGCTGTCCGAATTCTTCTTGAAAATGCATTCCTGTTGAAAGGAAAGGAAAGAACACTAGAGCAATCAGAATCAAGATTACCAGAGTAATCTTTTAATCCCTTTACTCACAGATAGACAACTCTCACTAACTTTTGAGTCTATGAATATCTTAAGTTACGACGATTCAAATTATACCTCTTAAACAATACTTTCGTATGGTACAGTCTGTGATACAAAGTGGGTTAAACTAACACTTGAATCTGTAAACAAAATCTTATGGTATTACCATTCAAAACTGCTGAAGAGAGCTTTCATGTAAAAACATTCGTTTTGCAGGATTTTACTCGATAAAACTGTGAATTTTTTGGAAGTAAAGGTAACAAGTAATTAGAGAAATGAGCCGTACGAGCCACTGGTTCTAATCCAAGCAAATTTGCAAACAAGACCTTCAAACGAAATTCTATCTTTTTAAATAAAACCTAAAACCCAAATACTGACGAACTTTCTTAATCTGAGGCCAACGTAGCTTTTACCTTGACCAATCCAGAGTCCTTGCCATCGTCCAGATTCTTAAAAACGCACTGTTTCCAGTTACGTGCAAAAGACCCTGGAGCCCCCTTGGGGCCTGAGGGACCTTGACTTCCAGGAGGACCTGTATCACCCTTCTTTCCAGCTTTACCCAAAAGGCCTTGTGGTCCCTTGGGGCCAGGGGGACCTGCTTCACCCTTGCTTCCGCTTGGGCCTGCTGGACCAGTTGACCCTGTACCTCCCCTGGGGCCTGGAAGTCCTTGTTTTCCACGGAGTCCTTCATCGCCTTCGACTCCTCGTGGACCCATAGGTCCTTCGGGTCCGTTGTTTCCGGGTGAACCCGATGTACCAGCTGGTCCCGCGGGTCCCGGGCTTCCTGGGATACCCGGTATCCCCGGTGCGCAGAAACACGCAGAGTAACCACAAGAGCCATGTTGTGAATTCTGTTGAGGAATTTAAGGGAAGAAATGAAAAAGAAAAAGAGAGAGAGGCCAATACATTATTCATTCTCTTTGTTTTAAAGTTAATGCACTTCTAGGGAATGTTTGTTTCTTAAATAGCCTTTGAAGAATAAGTAATCAAATAATTGACAATGAATATTAATTAATAATAATACTAATAATCGATAAATAAAAGCAGATATAAGCTAAGTACAGTAACACAAGACGCGTGAAGGAGTCTACTTTTGGCCGCTGACACTCTACATGACTCTCACTGCTTGATTCATTCATTTATATATATCAAGTCCATCGTTTGTTCAGTTATTCAAGTTCACTGCTAATGATCATTTTATTGTTGTTCAACTATTCATTTCCTGTTCATTTACATTATTTGGCTGGGGGACTATCCATTTGGATTATAAATTCTACCACTAATATGTAATATCAAATAAAGTCTCAATCATCTGAAATTTCACAAATCAAACTCACCTTATTGGTGCTGTTTTCACTATTTGCAGAACACAAAGGGATCAGCAGTAACGGTACTATCCATAACATAATGGCCGATGGTATCTTCATACAGAATAGCATGGTCGCAGAATCAAACTGTGGAATGAAATATATTGTTTAACAATCACCACAAACACAGTATTTTGAATTCTTCCCAGGGAAAATGAAGATTTTTACGTGTATTGGCGTATTTTGCAAGCTATACTATCTTCGAAGAAAACTGAAGACTACTAGACAAGTAGTCTTTTACATTATCGAATTCTTACTCTTTCCAATTACAAAAAAAAAACAAAAACAAAAGCAAAAGACAAAGAAACAAACCGATGACCGGCTGCAGGAATCAATTCTACTATTTTCAGGTTTAAGAAATATAGAAGAACCAATACGATTATAATCATCTTTTGATCAACCAATTTCAGCTGGTTCATGAAAACACGACGATAATAAACTGAAAAGATGTACATCATAACAAATTAAATAGCCCTCTCCTAATAAAATATATTCAGTTGAAAAACAAACATATTGAGAAAAGTTGACAATCCAATCTGAAAGGAACACTTCAAACTGGAAAATTACATTAAGTATTTTAAGAACTGAATTTTTAGCTACTTTGCAGTAACAGAAAATCTAGGACACCTAAAATACCAACCTTGCTTGTATGGCTGCAATAGTCCAGTGTCCGCAAAAAATGCTGAATGGCTTAATATTGCCGATCTTTTATGTTGTTTTGTAGTCACGTTTAGCATAAAAACATGTTTTTAGCACGTTTAAATGCTTGTTAAAAATAACATGTCAAACAAGGCAAAATGTTCTTACTGGTTAACTCACACTGAGCTGACCAATCAAGGCGTTCGCTTAATTTTTGTAAGTTGCAAGTTTGAAACACGTTTAGGACCAGTGACGTCAAAAACATGAAAAACGACAAAAATTCTTATTGGATAAATCATTTCTAGATTGACCAATTGTATAACGCGTTGAAAAATCTCTTTGTTTAGAAGAGTTCAGGATTTTAAGCTAAAATAAGAAAACAACCCTTGATAGTTAGTTTATGCGTAACTTCTGAACTAAGACTGAGTTTACTAATTACTGCTTAGCTGGTATTCAGTTTCCAAATCAAAGAAAATCCCCCCTCTTTGGACACGCTGAAAATTACATATTGAACTGCAGATCGCAATCACAATATTTATTACTTAATTGCGACAAACGTGATCGCATTATAGAAAAGTATGCAACCTGGTCATTTAAGTTTCCTAAGGGATATTTCATTTTAACTCATACACGACTCGAATTTTGCTCGAAGAGGCTCGAAGAGGCTCGAAGAGGAACAAACAGCTAAAGAAATAACATAACTCAATTTCGGTTAACCGATAGGAGAAAAAATCTCGAAATGAAGGCAAAACTTTTAAAACAACTGTAATGTTTTTTAGAAGCGACAGGGCTGAGCTACAAAACTTCAAATATTTATTAATAAGTTCTCGATACAAAACGAAGAGGCAGCAATAAATTGATGTCTAGGCTTGGTTCTGGAACAACTGATTAGTGTTAGAACACACAAAAAAATCGCCTTGATTTGCAAATTCAAAATATTTTTTTAACCAAATTAAGTGAGGAATTAACGTAATAAGGTTGGATCGAGAGACAACTTACAATGCATAAAGCCTTTATAACACTTGTATTGGGCAGGCTTGCCTGAGTAAAATAGACCTGCAGTGAGGAAGACGGAAATAAATGTGATATCAAAGACATTAAAAATGAAGAGAAATCGGCAAAAATACAAATGTACAAGCCTACCTTGATGAATTTTTGCCCTGGCTTCATTTTCTTCTCAAGCTCAGGCTCACTGGGAGTTGTAAGGGAAAACAAATTCTCGTACGAACGTGTTGAAGAACATCATGAATTTATTGTACCGAACGATACCATTGGCTGCTTGTGGTTTACCCACTCAGCGACTCATCCCATGATATCGTGTCTTTTATTTCTGCCAAAAAACCCTGAAAAAGAAAATTATTGCTTTTTTATAACTGAAAAACAGTTTGCAATTTCTTAAGCATTATTTTGCTATAGCTTACCAGCAAACAGAAAATTAACGTCGTTTAAGATCATCGAAAGTGAACTAAGAGATCATCACCTTCTTTGCGGTTCTAAGCTGTGTTTGGTTTTTAAGCTAAGCTCAGCCTCACCCTCTTAGATCAGAGCTTCTCTAGACATTAACTACAGCTGTCTTCTTTTATTAAATTATTTTGTAAATTATATTTTCTCCTTATGTTGACAACTGCTGATTAATTTCCAGTTTAATTTCAAGATGACATACACTGTTGTCAAAAAAACATTTGCCTAAAATGATAAGCTTATCGTGGTCTTCAGAATGATTCGTTAATATTCGATGAACAAAATACCTTCGTCTGGAAACAACTGATGCGCTACATTCTCAATTTGATTGTTCATTTTGTCTCTTATTGCGGGGCGCAAAACAAAACATAGAAAAAAATGGAACGTAGTAAAATCAAACTGAGTTTTAAAAGAATTCATACAATGATAAAAGACACTCGTCGGTCAGATACTCTCCTTTCTAACGTAAATAGAGAGAGAAATTGTAGGCGCTATTCGACTGTTGTCCGGCTTTGGCTATTGACACACCTTCTTGAGCAGCAATAGCTCGACTGGTCCGATTCCACTGAACGCCTCTGGTCAAACTTTGGTTTGAAAATAGACATTTTTGAATGGACACAATTGGATGGTAGTTTATTTTAGCAATACCTCTTCTACCAAAAGAGTCTTGCGCCTAAAGTACGCGGTAATTTGCAAATATAAAAACAGCTACCGTGCGAGCGGTTCACGTAGCTCCCTTTTTCATCCACTGCCTCGCTAATGTTGTTAGCCGACAGTTCTCAGGGTTGAAAAAGCGTTAATTATGACAAAGTTTTAGAATTTCATGCCCTTGCCAGTCCAGCCAATTTTCATGCTGATGTAGAACTATAATTGCAGTTCTTAATATTATAAAAGGAAATATAAACAAGAACTGGACTCATTTTAAGTACTTTTCTAAAGGGTCTCTAAAGCTAAACACTGTGGCTTTGCAGCTGGGCAGTTTGGCTACGTGTTGCGTGTTGTTACGGGCTGTCTCAAATTTATTGGCTTCATTATTCTTAAATTACACCAAACTTCGAAATTTGCTTCAAGCAGTAAAATGTACATATTCTGATACAGGCTAATTGGTTTACAAGGAGCTACTTATACGGCACATGAAACAAAATATTGACTCGGCAGTTACTGAAACCATGTTTTATGTTCAAGCCTCTCCGCATCATCGTAAAAGCTAGTTACCCTCTACTTGCTTTAATAAAACTGCACACTAACTTAAACTTTCATTGTCACCCAACGCGATAAAAACTATAAATTTATAAAGGAAATGATGTTGCCAAGCTTTATTTATTTATTTTTTCTTTTTTGGATAACATATCATAGTGAACATAGCGCCGTTAAAAGAAATTTGTGATTTTCTCATCAGAGCGCGCTCCAGTTTTTAAGACATCTGGTCAAACATAGACACCGCGGGTGAAACTTCCCCTTATGAATGAACACAAGCTCACAAAATTATAGCATTATAATTCGCTTCCTCTAAAAATTGATAAATAATTTGTCCACTTGTTTTGTCTACAGGGTAGTTCTGACAAAAGTGGCTCGTCTTTTTTAGTTTTTTTTTTTTTCAAATTTTAATTACGCTGTAAAAGTTTTCGTAAAAATTCTTAGCTAGGACTGGAATTTTCATATTTTAAAATATAACTACTTGTGCGGAACAGGACAACTCAAGAATATTTTTGTTTGCCTGTTTGCATAACATGTAAGAAGCCAAATTAAGAAAGCCTTGCTCGCGAGTTTGCCGCTAATGGAATGTTGTGTATAGAGGGATGGTACTTTGATTATATTTGCCAAATTTTTTTAGCAGAATTTGACAATATTTTACGTTACTATATTAAAGAATAAAGTCAGTTTTACCTTGAGGTAATAGAAGATAATAGAATGGATATCGTATAAATGTCGTGGGCACAATACTCTAAACGGACCAAAGACGAAACAGGTTCATAGATTAAACTTAATGTGAAAAGATTCACCATAATTAAATAACACAACAACTGTGAAAAAAAGCAGTATACCGTTCAAAATGTCCATAATATCCTCAGCCTCTTTCTTTCATTGCTAAACCAAAATAATTTTCCATTTTGCTTTCTTTGCATGTAATGAGGTTCTTGTCAGATCAAGTTTGCAAAGCAAAGAAATCTATTGTGTTTGACTTTTCATTTGACAGATAGCTGTCATTTATTAAAACAGAAAAAATAATCACTGATTACCAATTCCAATAAATTTGAATCTTCCCATTACAATTTAGGAGTCGCTACGAAAGGTAATGTAATAACGTGTTGTGATTTATTCCAAGTGTACTCTCTCTAATCGTTCTAATCGTACAAGAAGGCAATCAATTCCCCCACCCCCACCCCCCCGTCCATTATTTGTTAGAACACACTAACAGTTTAATGTGCACTTTATTTCCTTGTTATACGTAATATGGGATAATGCCGGTGAACGTCCACAATCTTAGGGTGGTAATGTATGTAATTATTTATTTTATTTTGTAGCGTTGTAAGAATTCATTCCGTATTAGGTTTTTCATTCATCTTTAGTCCTCAATTACAACGTTTAAAATGTTTTGTTTCGTGACGAATGTTTTGTTCCGGGAGACACGTCGCTTTCAATTTGCCTCTCAGCGGAATATTAGTTGGTAACTGCGCTTTATTAACTTCGGGTTATGTGTCACTGATTATTTCTGTTTCTAACTCACAGAGCGTTGCACAAGCGCGAAAAAAGATAATCATAAAAAAGGTGATCTACAGAAGTAGGCGATGAACAAATGTATGCGCAATTATTATTTTAAAATTCTTTATGTATTAAATAATCATTTTCGATTGAAATAATTTGGGTGTTTGTTGGGATGTCACAGTTTTTGAAGCCACATTACGGGAGACGATGTCGTAATGGCGGAAGTATTTGTGTTTCAAAAAAAGAACTTTAATCTTGACCTACGATCGAGTCGTGAATTTTTCTTACTGAAACCAGTGGTTTAGTGTTAGTCTCCAGGTATCAATGATTCAAAGTGTTCTTTCGCTTTTGAGAATAACCACAGCGCTGATTACTACCTTTATCACCAAACGTAAACTCTTGCAGCACGTCACGTGTGAAGCAACCTCATGCCCAGGACTTTTCCCTTAAAAATGGTAGTGGCGGGAAAAGCCCTGGGTACCAGGTTGCTTTAAATGCCCTGGAAGACGTGCTGCCTGTGTACCCCTGAGAGTTCGAAGAATTTCATTCTTCTGAGTATTTGTTATTCTATCACATTCACTTTAGCCTTGTGTCAATTTTTTCAAATATTATGCGTACTTTTCCTGTAATTATCAATTCTCAGCGTCTCCTTACGTAATCGCTTTTGTCAACCTTCGTAACTGCGTTAGGCCCATTGTTGTCTTCAGTAAGTGTAAGTATGGTTTTCTTGTATTTTTGCGCCGTAATTTTTCGATTTGTTGTACAATTAAGTTTTTTTTTCAAATGTTTTTCAATTTGCGTCTATTTGAATTCTGTATGTTCCTTTGCTAAAATATGTTTCTCATCACGGGTGAATCGTAAAGTAATGACCGAATTCGATCTTTACTTGGAGTTTAATAAGAATAGCATAAAACTTTCCCTATCTCCCAGGAACGGATAACTCATATTAAGATCATGTTTTTGAGATTCATTTTACATTGGAGAGTTAGAACAATCCAATTAACAACTCAGTCATTATCTTTTATCGGAAGTGAAGCGCTTTGGCAATGCGACTCCTCTTGAAACTTTATTCTATGTATAAATGCATATGAAAAGTTTATAAAAGATAGTTTAAGGCCTCGTCCAAGCGTATCCACCGATTTTTGAAAACAGATTTTTCCACAAAAAAAGCCTTTCGTCCACAATATTTCTATCGTTTTAGCGTTTTCATCTGTTGTTGTTGTTGTTGTAGTTGTTGTTGTTTCTTATTCTTTGAGTATTGTTTAAAATATTCAAGAGACCAGAAACGTAATGATTGTCTTCATGCTACGGCTATAGACATTATAGTTGAACGATCGATGATTGTCAATCAACATATTTCCGTAAAAACACCTTTAACTCTTCAGTACACTCTCTCTTGAATGTGAACATAATTTTCTGTACCTTATTTCTTAACCAGTAGCCGGATAAATCTTGTCTTTAAACCTCAAATATCCCTATTGAATAAATTGATTGTTACAATTGAAGAAAACTGGACCAAAACGCATCACTAAACGCAGAAGGAAAACGTTTCAGAGTTTTGTTCTTTAGAGTATGCACTGTTTCACGTGCTGTACTGCACATTAGTTTATACGAAGGTAAAGAATACGAGGTTGATGTCGTCTAGTAAGCTCTAATCTCTAAAGGATGGGTATAGATGTCAATTATTTCTTTATAAGGGGGGAAGGTGATCCCCAGTTCCCCTCCCCTGATAAAAAAAACTCCAGTATTAGGATCAGAAAGAAGTATTCTAATGACAACTTATAAAGGCTCCTGTTAACTTATTTAACATTCCTCCCGAGTCTGTTCACACAGCACACTGTTCTATAGATTAGAAGTGACTTTTATTTGTATATTCAAACTTAGATTCCAGTTTGTCAGATAACTTTTAAGACCGTTTCTATACTTTGTTAAAAACAGAAACCTTATTACTTGCAAAATTGAGTTTCAGGGGCAATTCTTATCAACAACTACATTCCCAGGGTCTTTTAACAATTATTACATTAAAGGCTAGAAAACCTTTTATAAAGCACTTTGAGTTTAGGAAAAAAAATGAATCTCTTATTAAGCTTGCGGGGGTGGTACTTCTTCCACGTAGATCCGGGACACCGAGTTCCATCCTGTGTGCGCATCAGCAGAACCGTAACCTGCGCAGTTGCCAACCCAGAATCCCACGCGCACGGTGCCTTTGTGGATTTTATTGCAGACTCCCTCAACGTGACGTGGGCGGTGCAAATCTTTAAGTCTGCTACCAGTTCCATATCTCATGTAGACTACACCATCAATAGCTGCTGGAGCAGAGCACTCAGCACCGTTAAAAGTGAAATACCATCGCCTGCAACAGGCGTCGCAGTTATAGAGCCGGAGCTGACCACTCCAGTAGACACGCAGACTTGTGTTGTCCGACGTCTTCTTGAAAATGCATTCCTGTTGAAAGGAAAGAGCAACCAACCAAATTCAAGATTACCATCTTTTAATCCTTTTACCCACAGAGAGAATGCTCTGACTAACTATAGAGTCTATGATATCTTAAGTTACGACGATTCAAATTACAGTGGCGGGATTCAGGGAACCCCCCACTTATTTTTAGACCAAACTGAGGCAAAGTCTGGATCCGACACTGAATTATAGCTCTTCAACAACGCTTTCGTATGGTACAGTGGTACAAGGTGGGTTAAACAAACACTTTAATCTGTGAACAAAATCCTATGGTATTACCATTCAAAACTGCCGAGGAGTGCTTCCTTGTAAAAACATTTGACATTTACTCGATAAAATTGTTAATTTTTTGGAAGTAAAGGAAATAAATAATTAAAGAAATGAGCCACAAGGGCCGCTGGTTATAATCCAAGCAAATTTGCGAACAAGACTATCAAATGAAATTCTATCTTTTTAAATAAAACCCAAGTACTGACGAACTTTTTATTCGGAGGCCAACTTGGCTTTTACCTTGACCAATCCTGAGTCCCTGCTATCGCTCAGACCCTTAAAAACGCACTGTTTCCAGTTACGTGCAAAAGACCCTGAAGACCCCTTGGGACCTGAGGGACCTTGACTTCCGGGAGGACCTGTATCACCCCTCTTTCCAGCTTGACCCGAGGGGCCTTGTTGTCCCTTGGGACCAGGGGGACCTTGGCTTCCAGGGGGGCCTGCATTACCCTTGTTTCCACTTGGGCCTGCTGGACCAGTTGACCCTGTACCTCCCCTGTTGCCTGGAAGTCCTTGTTTTCCACGGGGTCCTTCATCGCCTTCGACTCCTCGTGGACCCATAGGTCCTTCGGGTCCGTTGTTTCCGGGTGATCCCGGTGTACCAGCCGGTCCCGCGGGTCCCGGGC